TGTGTGGGGTGAGCCCGGTGGTCCGGCCCGGAGGGGGTGAAGACGCTTCCCCCGTAGGCAGGAGACGCCGTCTCCCACCGCCCTGACGGTTGTTCCCCTTCCCTGCTGCAGGTGAAGCTGGTGCAGCACACGTATTCCTGCCTCTACGGCACCTTCCTGGGGAACAGCCCCTGCGAGCGAGAGATGCACAACATCTACAAGCGGACCTGCTCCGTGTGGTCCCTCCTGCGGGCTGGCAATAAGAACTTCCACAATCTGCTCTACATGCCGGGCTCTGAGCAGGTCAGTAGCGCTCCCGGCCCCGCTTCCCAGGCTTTCTGCCTGCCGGGCACCAGGGACCGTGTGGGGAGAGCTTGGAGGGGTTTCCTCTTGAGTTCTTCTCTGCTCATAAGTGGTTGTTGCAGGTGCTGCATCCAGTGTGCCACGTGCGAGCGCTGCACGTCTGGACAGCAGTGTATCTCCCAGCTTCCTCGCCGCATCCTCTGGGCCAGGATGAGATGGACATTTACCTGCCGCCTGGAGCGCAGAGCCAGGAGTTCAGTGGCAGATGTTTGGACAGGTAAGAGCCTAGAGCTCCAGTCCCAAGTTGCCGCCGACCCACAGGCCTGCTTTGTAGTTCCTCTGTTTTACCTGTTGTTCTCATCTTCTCTGTGGAGAGCAAGAGCTCTGTAGCGTTGTCCCAGCCACTTGGAGAAGAAGGTGTACAGCTGCCTGCTGCAGCTTTAGAGGCAGACCGGGGAGGCCACGCTGTAGTGCTGTGCCTTTCAGCCCGTGCTGCTGCACCACCCGTCCCCACCCACCCCACCATCTGTAGTTAAGAACATTTCCCTCCCCTCATCGCAGTTTCAACTGAAATGAGGGAAGCTTCAGGAGTTACATTTTGAGATATCTTCGCTTTTTGGGTTCTAGATTACCAAAGACAAGATCTATGGATGACCTGCTCTCAGCCTGCGACTCCAGCAGCCCGCTGACCCGCACGTCCAGCGATCCAAACCTGAACAACCACTGCCAGGAGGTCCGGGTGGGCCTGGAAGCCCGGCATGCCCCCGCTGAGGGAGCCGAGCCGCACTCGGGCGAATGCAGCACGGTGCCTGCGGCAGAGACGCGGCAGGATGAGGAGCAAGAGGAAAGCGCTCCCCTGCACGCCAGCCTTGTGGAGCACGAAGGGCACAGCAAGCAGCTGAGCAGCTGGGCTTCCGTGCCGGCAAGCAGCGTCTCTCCGGAGGCAGAAAAGGGAAATGGAACGTGCATGGAGGAGCTGGATGGCATGTGTCCAGCTCCAAATCCTTCAGGACAGGAAAATGTTGACAGGGTTTCCACCGGTTCCGGCAAGCAATTAGAAAACGGTCCCCAGGAACCTTTGAAGGCTACTGGTGTGGTGTCTAGTGGAGGAGGCTGCCCCAAGAGCAACACTGCCTGCCAAGACATTCCCAGCCAGGAGTCCCTGGCACCAAGTGCCCCTTGTCAGGACACCCCAGGCCCTGCCACGGGCGCGCCCTGCCCAGACGAAGGCAAAGGCGATGCTGGAAGGAGTGTGCCCTGCGAGGAGCCTGCCCGGCTGGCGAGAACCCCGCTAGAGCACTGGCGCAAGCCCATTTCCCAGAGCCAAAGCAGCGAGTTCTCCTTCCTGGGGTCCAACTGGGACAGTTTTCAAGGGATGGTGACATCGCTCCCGAGTGGGGAGCCGGCACCCAGGCACCTCCTCTCCTACGGCTGCTGTAGCAAGA